GTTATGATGAGGCAAATGGCCTGTTAAAAGAATGGGTTATACCAGTCAGCCAGTACTGAGCACACGATCTAAGTACACGTCCATTCAAACTGACACGAAAACAATGCAAAATCTGTTTTAAATTCTTCTATGGGTCTGGCACCAGTCTCTCTCTCTCAGAGGTCACATAATCATCATATACAGATAAACAGATAAGTCAGATGCTATGCAGCTGGCCTCCTGGTCCCAAGATCTATACACACAGGAGGAATCAGCTTTTAGCCATCGTGGCCCCAGTGTCTGAAGGTGAATGACTCCACCTCAGTGGCAATTTAAAAAAAAAACCTTGACTTATGTTTTTTAATTGAAGTGGGCTCAATATTTCTGTACGTGTTAAAGCTTTACGACATTTTTCTTTTATCGTTTCAAAATTTGTTTACACATTTGTTTATAGTTGTAAAAGTTTAGTCAAAATATGTGTATTAACATTCTCTAAAGAACTGCAGCTGTTCGAAAGATGTAAATAAAGCTGAAATATAAAAGCTATAATATGAACGGGAGGCGGTTTCTGCTCAGTTTCAGATCCACGTGTGCACAAACTGTGAGGTGTCTCACAATCAGAGATTTTAGGCGAACAATACAGTTTCTTATCTTCATGTTGTTCAAAGTTAGCAAACTATGGCTAACGTGAGCTAGCGTGTCAACTTCACGATGGCTGCTGATGTCCCCAAGGACTCCTAAATAAATCACCCAAGCCAAAGACCCAGAAACTAATTTGTGAAGCCACTTTAACCTCTACCTCAACTTCGGTAGCAATGATTTAACATTAGTCAATAGCACAACAATGCAGTGTGCGGTTAGCTAAGTTACTGTATCTGCTTATTAGCAGCAAAGCACATTAGCCCTAAGAAGACTATTGCTAATGTTAGCGACTACAACACAGCGATGTTACAGTAAAGCCAGAAAAATTATAAAACGCACGGCAAATATATTGCATCCCTCGGATACTGCTGCCAACAGCGCACTTATTGGCTCGATGCTCGGTTTACGGGTGACCTGAGAATGAATGGCGAATAGGAAAGAGCTAGACAAACTGCTACAGAACCCTGCATGTCCTCGACGGCACGCTAGCACAAATTATACTATACTCGTTTAAGAGTTTTCAGTCACCTGTAATTGTTGATATTCCTCATCAATTTCCTCCCACTCCGCCTGAAACCTCGGCTTGGACATTGCAGTGTTGTAGCTTATTCGACGAAGAAGACTCTTTCACAAGGCTTTTCACCCACGGGCTGCTCCTGCTCCGGCCACTCAGGCGAGTTTTAACTGTCTTGTGCGGAGCATGCGCACTTCGTAAACCGCCGTGATGACCAAACACTGTGGTTTAACCACGGTTGAAGCCATCAAACAGTAAATAAAAAAAACTAACGGCAGATAAATAAAACATGACTTGTGGATTAAAAATGACACCCAAACATGTTAAACTCGAATTTTTAAATGGTCTCCCAATTACATTTATAAGTCACCAATAACTGTACACATTGCTGTTGCTAGGATACAGCATACAAACTTGCTCGCCTGCTGCTGCTGGTCACCAGGGAAGCTGTGTACGGCTAGTCGTGTAACATGTTTTCTGGATTTCTTCGGTAAATTAATGGCTTTTGTTTGGCAAAGTTTGCAAGCGGATTCAGTTTCAGTAAGTTATCCGCTTGGAAACTCCGCGAAGGTACAACTACTTTGCTATTTTGCTTTTCCACGTTTCTATTTTACTTGTAATGCTAACTAAGCTGGAGAGCTTAACTAGTTTCCTTAGATTACCTTGTGGCTACTTTTCATATTCTGAATTAGAAAATACAGTTTTGATATACAATTAGACATCATGGAAAAGTGTGTTTAAAATACTGTCAATTCCTAATTAAAACCTCAAAAAAGGGCAGTGTTTTTTGTTGTTGTTGTTGTTGTTGTATGAATTTGGTGATATGTACTGCTTAATGGGTATGGAAGCTTGTTTGTGCCACCAACAAAACTTTTTTTTTTGACATCTATCAAGTCAAAAATGTATGTTAGGTATCTCAAAAAATAAAATATCAATTTACTAACTCAAACATGACAAAATAATTTTAAAGTTTGAGTTATTAAGTCAGATTTTGAGACAATAACTTTAGATTTTGACTTATGGGTGGCAAAAAATTCAAATAAAAATATTTGTTTTCATTTTCAGTGGCAGAAAGACAGCAAACATGTATTTGTTTTTTTAAATTTCATTCTAATGCTTACAGGTTTCATCAAGCTACAACTAGCAATGCCATTTCTCAAAAGACCTCCAACTAGTCCCCCATTGTCAACACTGCTGGACATTAAATCACAGAAATGTGGACTACGACACACAGTTTTCTCAGCCAGTGGAAACGAATACACCGGGGAGTGGCAGAACAATAAGAAGCATGGTGAGATATAGTTTGTCGTCAGCTTCCACTCAACTCCTGAGAGGTTCGAAGTATAGTGCAGCTGTCATGTTTGCTTGTTTGTTTATTTATTTTTATAAGGCAAGGGAAATCAGGTTTGGAAGAAGTCTGGTGCCATTTATAATGGAGAGTGGAAATTCGGAAAACGTGACGGGTATGGTACCTACAGCATTTTACTCCCAGAATCAAAGAAGTATGTGAAGAAGTACTGTGGTGAATGGACAGATGGAAAGAAGCATGTATGTATCTGCCATAATGTTTCACATGCACGCTACAAGACATATCGGTATGTATGGTCAGTGATGTACTTGTCCGGCTTCTCAGGGGTATGGCACATACTTTTACAAAAACTCATCAGTATACGAGGGGGAGTGGAGCGAGGACCAACGGAGTGGCTGGGGAAGGATATACTATGCAAATGGAGACATCTATGAGGGCAAGTGGCTGAAGGATAAGAATCATGGAGAAGGAATCTTTATATTTTGTAAGAGAAAATTTTCTATACATGCATGTGAATCAAAACTAGATTATAATTTGGATGTTATAATGCGACTTTCAAATTTTTGTTTAAGCAAATGGAAACAGGTATGAAGGTAGCTGGCGAGAGGGGAAGAAGGATGGTCGTGGAAAGTTCTACTACTGTGACAAAGGCCAGCTTTATGAAGGCCTTTGGGTGGATGGAGTGCCAAAATGTGGGACCCTGTCTGATTTTGGGAGAGATGCCACACCAATGCCTGCAAAATATCAGATTCCAAAGGTACAGCGTTGCTTCTGACTGTTACAGCCATGGATCAAAATTAAATTACACGACTAATTACATTACACTGCTTACATGACATAATCATATGAGCACTGACAACAAAGCCCTGTTCCATTTGTACTACTGTGCATGAAAGCATGCACTTATCTTCTATTTTCAGGTACACCTGATCGATACTCAGCTGGTTTTAAGGGAAGCCGAATCAGCTTACCTTGGCCGGTTCTGATAAACAACAAGAGGATCAAGAGCAAGTTTCCACTTCACCGCATGCTTGCTGATAAAGAATAAAAAAAAAAAAAAAGCATAATGGGTATGTATCCATTTTGTCACAGATTATTTGTCCTTGTCAGAGGGGCAAAATCCTTTAATCATCCATTAATGTGACAAATTTATCTGTTGCCAATGCCAATTAAAAGTGTTTAGATAATAGATCATAAAGGAAAAAAATGCCTCATCAGATTTTATATATATATATACCTCTTAAGATTGAAAACATTATATTGGATGACTTCATAAAAATATGAGCACAGAGTTGAAAGAGATTGTCATATGATAAATTCAGTATTACACATCCATCTGTTTGTCATATGGTGTCTGATCACACATTAGCCTTGAGTGTGTAAATCCTTGTGAACTTGTAACTAACACACAAGCCGCTTTGTTCTGTTTATAGTTTGTGTAGTTGTCCTAAGAATAAAACACTAGTCCTAACAACCAGTCTGTAAGAGGATGATATTTTGCTATGTTTACCACATCTAAACCTTGAAAAATACTACTGCTTCTCAAAGAAATACAAAAAGATAAAATTTCATATTATTCTATATTCATCGCACACGCAGTGATATATTTCACTACATTTCTTTTTTTCTTAATTTTGGTGATTATGGAATATAGATGAAAATCAAGAATCCTGTATCTAAAATTATTAGAATATTTAATTTAGAGTTTGAGTAAATTACTATTCAAACAGTATAAATACAGTGTATCTCACGGTTTAGTTCAATACCACCAACCACAATCATGTGGAAGACTGCTGACTTGACAGTTGACTAGATGATGATGATGATCATCACTGCGCATGAACACAGGAAGTCATTGCTGAAAAGGCTGGCTGTTCTCGAGAGTGCTTCATCACAGGATTTAAAAAGTTGACTGTTAGTGTGGCAAGAAAGGGTGCAAAAAAGATAATCACACCTTTGAGAGGATTGTCAAAAACAGCTGACTCAGGAAGTGATATTCAGGCACTCCTGAAGCAGAGACATCACAAATGTCTTACCTCGGCTAAAGATGAAGAACTGAATTTGCTCAGCGGTCCAAAGTTCTCTTTTAAGACGAAAGCAAATGTTGCATTTTGTTTGCAAATTACAGTCTTAGAGGTTTGGAAGAAGAACTGAGAAGCGCAGACTCCATAGTGTCTGAAGTCCAGTGTGAAGTTTCTGCAGTCTGTGGTGATTTGAGGTGCTGTATTATCTGCCGCTGTTTTGGTGTGTGTCCTGTGTTTTACATCAACTCCAAAATCAACACAGATGTCTGCCAGGGTTTTCCAGTGCTCTGCATGCTTCCATCTGCTGACAAGCTTTAAGGAGATGCCAATTTTCTTTTCCAGCAGGACTCAGCCCCTTCCCACAGAGCCAAGCATTCTACTACAAGGTGTGCTGACTCTGCCGTTACTGTGTGCAAGTGGTCAGCCAACTCAGGAGACTGGATTTCAGATTTTCATGAGCTACAAGCCATACTCATCAAAATTAAAACAAACAAAAAAAAAGCTTAAAATGTCACTCTAAGTGTAATATGGTTTCCCCTTTAGAAATACAAAAAAAACCCAAAAAACTTTTTCATTATATTTTAATTTTTTAGAATTCACTAGCAACTGGATTATGGCCATCTATCAATGTTCCAGCTGCTTAAGTAAACACATCTCTGACCACATTTGGACTACAGCCTCACATAGACTCTTAATTCAAAACTTTTTATGTTAAAAACACAATTGGAAAGCTCTCCGTATGTACTTCAAGACTGAATCACAAAGGCAAAATGCCAGTTCAGAATATGTGAGTGCTCAGACTCTTCAAAATACAGCACTAACAATTAATATTAACATTAAGTTTCCAGCAGAGATCCCAATGAGATTATAAAGCTGTGTTAGTGTGTATAAAAATGTCAGCAGTCTAAGGCAAACAGATAGGACTAAGCTCTTTTTCATACATATACTGCATAATTTTCTAGATAATCTAGTGTGTGATAACACAAATGTCTGGCTTGCTCTGGCATTAGAGGCTCTTTATCCTGCCAGCTCCATAGTGCAAAGTCTGTGTAACATAAGGACAGAACATCTATCTATTGGCAAGTCAGCATCCTCACGAAGCCCAAACCAGACTCTCCACACGCAGTCACGTTTTTTGATTTTTGCTATGATCGTTAACTTTTAACATCACTTTGTGAAAAGGTGTTTATTTGAACACCACAGCCTGTGCAAAACAAGACAGCAAAACATACTGAAGTTGTACTGTAAGTTGTGCAGCTGATTAGTCGACACAAATGGAGAGCATTCTGAATGCAAATGATGAAAATTTAAAAAAACAAAAACAATAAGACCGTGTAAATAAAGGGTTAAATACACGTGGTTCACATGGTAATATACATAAACAAATGAAGTATTCACTGACAGACGGTTAAATAAATACAGCAGGCAGCAACAGACAGGATTCCAGGTTACTGTTCAGACATCTCTCCCATACCGTTGGAGATCAGTGAGGCAGCTACCACTGTTAAGACTTTCCGATTTCAAGCTACATGCAGCACGGCGGATATACGAGTTCACAGTCAATCAAGTGTGTTTTCTAAAAAATACAACTGTTCTTCACAAAATAAGTTTCACAATAAAGAGTGAGATTAATCGTCATTCCTGTAAAAACCATAGAAGCCAATAACGAGGCTTCTGACTTGGAGAATTCCCAAAGGGGTCACGAGTTCCAACACAGATGTGCATCAGCTGGACCCGACTATGGGAAATGTGAGCTTGGCGACTGCAAGATGGAAGATTCTCCTCTGTTATCAAGCTCGTTCTGTAGCCTGGTGAGGTTGGAGAGCTCCTCCAGCTCCTCAAACTGTCTGTCAGTCTTGTGGCTCACCAAGGAGCGATAGAAATGCACAGCGAAGACTATGAAAACCAAACCAAAGGGCACCATGATGGAGGTGGAGGTAATGGCAGCAGCCACTCCGGAGGAAACTGTGCTGTTGCTGGATTTGTTGGGCTTGATGGGCAAAAACTTAACCCAGCAGAGTAGAACCACCTCTGCCAGGAAGAGCAAAGTACCAATGACTGTGGAAAACGCCCACGCCAGCTCAATGTGCCGGTGCATTCGCTCATGTGGGGACTCCTTCACCGAGTTGAGATTGTGGACGTTGCTCACGGCCTCTATGTTGGGTAAAATGCAGGTGCTGACCATCAGAGCGAACAGGTGAACGGCTACGAGCACAGTGGTGCAGGCACTGAAGGCAATAAGGAGGGCAGGTGGGTAGGGGTAGCTGTTGTCCAGCTGCACTTCTACCATAGCCACCTGAGAAGACGGAAGGAAACAGGAAACACAACGTTACAACACAGGTCAGTAATGTCCTCTAACAGATTCGGAAGAGTGCCAGTGCTTGCCAGGAGACCGTGTTACCATAGCAAATCCAGACAGCAGAGCCGAGGTCCGACTGGAAGCCTTCAGTTTAGCTCGACTCAGGTACAGCTTTCTCCAGGACAGCGCTTGCAGGGAATGCTCGTTCAGACTCATACTGCGACACTTAGCAAAAACACTCTGTTACTTAAAAAAGGACAGCGTACACTTACACAGCATTTAACCTCGCACGCTAACTGAACTGCGGAAGCAATTTCTTGTCGTTCTTCAGCGTGCCGCTGTACCGCCTGCACCTTGCATTACCCATAAGTCTGCGCGCTCCCATGGAAACATCCGCTGCTGAGCATTTGCTTTAAAAACATGGTGCTACTCATTATTAATTAGTCAGCGATAATAGTGTAACTACGGAGTTATATATGTTAGCTTGTTTCTGCCAATATAAATAAATACATACATTTTTTGAAAAAATGGCTAAAGTCACATTTTGCCGGTACTTACTCAACCGTATGAGTAAATAACTCGAAAATTGAGGAAGTATTTGGAAATTCGAGATGTTAAGTTGAAGTTTTGAGAAAATAACCGGAAAATTCAGCTTAGCTACGCTTAACGGAGGCTTGTTTCCGCCGCCATTGATTTAAAAATAAATAAATAAATAAATAAATAAAAATGATGCCAGGCAGAGGTAAGTTCAAATTCGGAGTTATTATCTCAAAATGTTCTCAGCGCTTTAAGTTGGTAAGTCAAGATTTTGAGTTAACCTATAATTTCGACTGAGCTACGTTTTACGGACCCTTGTTTCTCCCAGTGGAAAAAAA